GGCCAGTTTGTTTACCTGTCGCGTCTACAGGTTCGACTGATCACAGCTCCCACTGGCTGCGGTTCGCCGCTCCAGGCCAATGGGGGCGGCAAGAAGCAGTGCGGGCCGAGAGATGTGCTGGCCGCCGCTTCCCACCACCCCCATTGGCCTGGAGCGGCGAACCGCGGCCAGTGGGAGCTGCGATCGGCCGAACCTGCCGACGCGGCAGGTAAACAAACCGGCTCGGCCCACTAGGGGGCTTACCCTGGCGAGCTGCGTGCCAAAGGTTGCCGATCCCTGAGCTAAACCAAAATCCTGATCCAAAAAACCCCCTCAATCTTACTTGGGAGAACCAGATATCCAGATCCAAACTTTACAGCACTGGACCAGCTCCTAACAAAACTGCCTTTATGCAGCATCAATGTGCTTTCCCTCTGCACAATGCAATACAATCAATCTGCTCTTACCCCTTTTAGAAGGAGTCACCTTTTTAATAAGTAGCGCTTGGCCACGTTACATTCTGCTTCTAAGAAAGAGTGGAAAGTTCCATCTCTCTTCAATGCCTAACGAGAGTCTTTTGTATTGTTTTGTTTAAATGACATCCTAAGTGATTCATCTTTTGCAAACACAAACTACTTTGTAACACCACAGAGTTTGCTCTTCTTGTGCAAACTAAACTTGTAGGGTCGGCTTGCCCTCTGCCTACCAAACCAGAACAGTTGTATTTTTCACTCACTTTGGACAAGCGTAAAAGACTGTACAAGGTGCAAAGCAAGGAGGAAGGAGGCATCTTATTAGAACCAACTTCTTGTGGGGCTGAAGGATATGTGAGAAGCCTGCATTTGCAAGAGAACCCAGACAACTCTGGTGTTTCGCCGAGCCTGAGAGCTTGGCCTTGAATAGTCTTGTGATGTTGAATAATATCTATTTAGCTCTTTGTTTTGGCAAAGACAAAAGGCATGAGGAGTGGTGGTTAGTCTCATGTTATGCCCAATGTCTTCTAAATCCACATCTGGCTACAGTTTCTCTTCACGAATCAGGCCATATCCTCAGCTGGTGTATACTGGAGCCAGTCGAGCTATGCCAGGTTACACCAGCTGAAGATCTGCCCCATAGAATCTAGCTATAGAAGAAACCTGTTAGGTCACCCAATCCAGCTCCCAACCAATACACTACTATTCCTCATGGTACAATTTTAGTGTTTCCACTTGCATCTGGAATCCTGTAGAAATGTATTTAGGATTCCATTAAACCATAGTGTTTTGTGAATTGCACTAAATTTCGTGTATGCAGTATAGTTGTAGCTGTGTTGGTCCCAGGATATTAGAGAGATAAGGTGGGTGAGATATCTTATATTGGACCAATTTCTGTTGATGTGAGAGACCAGCCTTCGAACCACACAATGCTCTTCTTCAGGTCTGGGAAAGGTACTTTGAGCCTCACCGCTAAATGCAAAGTGGAAAGATGGTTTAGCATAAGTAGCTAGCATATATTCCAAGGGACCATTTAAGGAAGAGAGTGGCCCGTTAACACCTTTGCAGTCATAGGACAAAAATGGGGAGGGGAGGGGGGAGAGTTAAGTGGGTTACAGATTGTTGTAATAAGCCATAAATCCAGTGTCTCTGTTCAGTCCATGATTTTTAGTGTCTAGCAGTTATGAATGTAAGCTCCCAGGCTCATCTTTTGAAAGTGTTGTGCAGGTTTCCCTTGAGAAGGAGGACGGATAGGTCAGATATAGTGATCGCTCTGTGAAAAGTAACAAGGAGTCTGGTGGCACCTTAAAGACTAACAGATTTATTTGGGCATAAGCTTTCGTGGGTAAAAACCTCACTTCTTCAGATGCATAGAGTGAAAGTTACAGATGCAGGCATTATATACTGACACATGGAGAGCAGGGACGCAAGTGGAGAACCAGTGTTGACAGGGCCAATTCAATCAGGGTAGATGTAGTCCACTCCCAATAATAGATGAGGAGGTGTCAATTCCAGGAGAGGAAAAGCTGCTTCTGTAATGAGCCAGCCACTCCCAGTCCCTATTCAAGCCCAGATTAATGGTGTTGAATTTGCAAATGAATTTTAGTTCTGCTGTTTCTCTTTGAAGTCTGTTTCTGAAGTTTTTTTGTTCAATGATAGTGACTTTTAAATCTGTAATAGAATGACCAGGGAGATTGAAGTGTTCACTTATGTATGTTACCATTCCTGATGTCCGATTTGTGTCCATTTATTCTTTTGCGGAGGGACTGTCCGGTTTGGCCAATGTACATGGCAGAGGGGCATTGCTGGCACATGATGGCATATATAACATTAGTGGATGTGCAGATGAATGAGCCCTTGATGGTGTGGCTGATGTGGTTGGGTCCTCTGATGGTGTCGCCAGAGTAGATATGGGGACAGAGTAGGCAACGAGGTTTGCTACAGGGATTGGTTCCTGGGTTGGTGTTTCTGTGGTGTGGTGTGTAGTTGCTGGTGAGTATTTGCTTCAGGTTGGGGGTTGTCTGTAAGCGAGGACTGGCCTGCCTCCCAAGGTCTGTGAGAGTGAGGGATCATTTTCCAGGATAGGTTGTAGATCGTGGATAATGCACTGGAGAGGTTTTAGCTGGGGGCTGTATGTGATGGCCAGTGGTGTTCTGTTATTGTCCTTGTTGGGCCTGTCCTGTAGTAGGTGATTTCTGGGTACCCGTCTCGCTCTGTCAATCTGTTTCCTCACTTCCCCAGGTGGGTATTGTAGTTTTACGAATGCTTGATAAAGATCTTGTAGGTGTTTGTCTCTGTCTGAGGGGTTGGAGCAAATTCGGTTGTATCTTAGGGCTTGGCTGTAGACAATGTCTGTGAAAAGTGTTCACCCACAGGTGACAGGGTGTTTTTGTCTTTTATCATTTTCCTGTGTGAGTTCATTCGAGAGCCTAGTGATTGTCTGATTTCACCCACACAGTTGCTGTTGGGGCATTTAGTGCACTGGAGGAGATACGCCACATGTTGTGATAGGCATGTGTAGGGTCCATGGATGCTGAACGGAGTGTTGTGGGGGAGGGGGGTGTTGATCATTGCAGCATGTTCCTGCTGTGGAAGAAACGAACTCCACTCTCAGGTTGGAAGCAACAAAATCAGAGACAGCTTTATTCAAGCAATTGCAAGGGAAAAATACAGCTGGCAGAAAACATCTCTGCCTCAGTTTCTCCAAAATACAAGCAAAATCACACAAGCATTTATACCTCTTTGTGACGTGCATTAATTAAAAACATGTGCATTTTATTTAGGCTATTTGCTATCTATTTTAGTATTTTCTCACTTTCTTTTCTTAAAACATCGTTATTTCAAGGCTTGGTCAATTGACTATTCTGCTGTTTTCCACTCGCGTCTGACATGAGCCCTGCTTTTATAGATCTCGCAATATCAGGCTAAAACTTAGCTCAACACTTAAATGGCTCTGTCTCCAACACTTAAGTGGCTGCACTTAAACCCTCTCTTTCTTTCCCTGTTTCCACACTGCCATTGCCTCTATTAATCTCTCTCTTTCAGTTTCATACCAACTTGTTTTGGGCAATATGGATTGTACTAGCAATAAAATATTAGAGGTGACAAAATGTGCTCTGATCTGGGCAAAATAAAGGTCCAGCAGAATTACAGATGTGATAGCAGAAGTCAGTAAATTACTTCCATGTCCAAGACGCTGTAAATGCATCCAATTTTTTTAAAAGTCTAAGTAGCAGGCTAACTTCACCCCGGCATAACTCTGTTGATTTCACTTTGCTACACAACATTTTGTGTTATGTTAAAGTGGACTATACAAAAACCCAACTTATATAGAGTTACAGAGAATACATTTCTTTTCTGTTGAATTGGTGATTAATTTAAAGCAGTACCATGAAATTGACGGTTACTGTTCTGATAATCAGTTTGGATGGCTCACTAAGGCTCTGACTTTTTTTGTGTGCCTGATTTTTTTAATTGATTTTATATGAAAAAGCAAGCAATAAAAAATACAAAAAGGCAAATAACTTACAGCTTGTGTGTTTCCAAATACCACATGCTTCTCAGGATCTCCAACAAAGTTAGGCAATTATGCAATTTTTACAATTCATCAAAGCTGCAAGACCAGACAATTAAAAAAACAAAACCGGCAATACTACATAGACATAACACATTTACAGTAGGATACGAAGATAAGACATACATAAATAGGAAAAGAAGGGAATGAAAATCAATGGACTCTATTAACTTCAGTGAGCTTTGGATAGACTGTAAATGCCAATAATAGATACCATGATTTGCATATATGTGGTATAGTTCATAGTTTTTAACCCAATACCCATGGTTTATCATTTTGGGATTGATGCATGTGAGTGGCTGAGTGGATGTAATGGGTAACAGCTGAACAAATAAAGAGATAGCAAGTGGCAAAGTTATGCTTCAACACAGAGCTGCAAGGGAAACTAATCGTGGAGCTCAGTAACTGCTCTGGACACACAAAGAACCAGACCACTGGAATCTGGATCAGAGCTTAGTTTCCTAAGAGGTTGTGAATTTTTCCTTCCCATGACCTGCAGTGAAAAGGACTTAAAAAATAACAGACCCTGGGGAGATGTGGTCAGTTGGCAAGAGGAGGCATTTTGCAAGTTCCAAATGTCAAAATATGCCCTGTTCTTGTTAATTGTACTAAAACTGGAGAAACAAAGATAATTTTGGATACAAAATGATGCCTAAGTCTTTTCAATAAAGTTACTGTGGGCCCAATTTACCTCTCACTTACACTAGTGTGAGTCCATTGGAATTACTACTGATTTACACTCATGTAAATGAGGTCACAGTCATGCTCTATATTTGCATGTCATTTGTTGTTTACACCCTGACTTCTAAGAACGACCATGACCGTCACAGTGGTGCTCGATGATCATCCATGTAAACAGTTAATCGCATCAGTTTTGGTTTTTGTCATTTGCTTTCATAGCAGGTTTCAGCTTTGGCAGGACAGAATGCAAACAAAGTTGCCCCTTAACATGACCAAGGTCTTTTCATTTACAGGAGAAGTTTGAGGGCTTGTTCCGTGCCTATGATGACTGTGTGACGTTCCAGTTGTTTAAAAGCTTCAGACGTGTGCGGATAAATTTCAGCAGTCCTAAATCAGCTGCTCGGGCCAGGATAGAGCTGCATGAAACACAGTTCAGAGGGAAGAAGTTAAAACTATACTTCGCACAGGTGAGAACCTTTTGACATGAAAGCCTTTCTCTCCTTACGTCTTAATGGGTAGCTGCTCTATGATCTTGTGTTACCAAAGAAACACTGTTCAATAAAACCAGATGAAAATAATAGCTATGTCTGAGTATTTTGAAGTGAATGGGCCAAATGTTGCTCTTAGTTACGACTGTGTAAATCTGGATCAACTCCTCTAGAGTCAGTAGCATTACTTTGGATTTACACTGATACACATGAGAGCAGAATTTGACCCTGTGTTTTTAGCGCTCATAAAAGGCTTCGGTAACGTGGCCGAGTTTCCTCGGCTCCAGACTAAAGCTGTGCACTCTTTGTAGAGTCCAAATGTCATTCCCTGCCATTCTGATTTATTAACAAAAAGATAGTTCCAAAATAATTCTTCATGTGCCCTTCCCCCTTCTCCTCAGGACCCGCCTGTCCCAACCCCTCACTCTCTCTTCCAGAAGGCTACCCCTACCTTCCTTGTATTCAATAGTGAGTCTAAGCCACGCCTGCCCCAGTGAGTACATCGTAAACCTGAAGTTCCCTGCAGGGTTCTGAAACCTGCTAACAGGATGGGCCCACAGGAGAACTCCTCCATTCTATTACAGTACCTCCAGGGGGAGAAGATTTCTGATTGAACAAAGCTATGTAATGTAGCAGACAAAGGCATAAAGAGATTTGTCTTCCACTCACTAGAACTAGATGAATTCAGACTAGAAATAAGATACAGATTTGTTTACAGTGATGATAATTAGCCATTGGAACAATTTGCCTAGGAACATAGTGGATTCTTCGTCACTTGAAGCCATTCAATCACAATTAGATGTCTTTCTAAAAGATAAACACTGGCTTAACCCGAAGTTATGAGTTTGATGCAGGAATTACTGGGTTAAATTCTATGGCCTGTGTGATGCAAAAAGTCAGGCTAGATGGTCACAATAGTTCTTTTCTGGGCTTAAAATCTATTCATGAACAGCTCTGCAGGTGGAAGCCCTGCATTTATCTGCAGAGTAGGAACATTATGGGCAGAGGCACTCCAGACTTGCTCACACAGCCACACCCAATGTGCCTGCCTTGGAGGAACCACCTTTAGCAGGGATGACATGATGATTCCATTTCCAGGCCCATGCAGTCCTTGGCAGAGAGGCTAAGACTACCAACAAGAGTGCTGGTTGTGGCAGTGGCCTTTGTGATTTGACAGCTGTGCACAGGAAAGTTGACTGAGACTCACCAACTCATTTCACAGATGCTACTAAACAAACAGCTGTATCTGCTCTTTGAAGTTTGTGACTATCTAATTGTTGTTCCATTTGCCTGCCCTACACTAAAATAATCTGTGTTTCTAATACATTCGAAAGGTTCAGACCTCCGAGACAGATGGGGACAAGCTTCATTTGGCTCCACCACAGCCCGCAAAACAGTTTCTCATCTCGCCTCCAGCCTCCCCTCCCGTAGGGTGGCAGCCAATAGATGATGGAACACCAGTCATCAATTATGACCTCCTTTATGCAGTTTCTAAACTAGGACCAGGTAAGCTTTGCGGACCTCCTGTATGGGAATGTGTCGGCTTAAGCAGATTGGAAACAGAGTGAAGATAAATAACTAAGAATGTAATTCACCCCTGTGCAGAGAGCAGCACAAGGCTTATATACTGCTTAAACTCAAGGGTCCATGTGGGGTTTAAGTAATGCGTAGGCCTGGCACCGGCTCTCTGCTCAGGATGAATTTTACCTATATGCATAATTATTCTTTCTTAACTTCAGTCAGTGTGCTTGGTGCTGTACAAGACACAGAGATATGGGTCCTGCTCCCAGGAGTTTACAGTCTAAAATGCAGACTGGCACCAGAGGCGAATGCACGGATAGACCCAGAGGCTGATCACACAGAATGTTTCCATTGCACTGGTTTGCTTTTAATCTAGGTGGGAGCGTTGGGGGGTTATACACTGGATTATAGACGGGCAGGAATAAATGCTGTTGAGCAAGTTCTAAGAGTTTCTCACAACAAATACGATCGGGCCCAGTCCTGCAAGATGATGTATTTCTTCTGGGAGGTGTGAGCACAGTGGGGACCCCAGGGACCTAGCCCCATCCAGGATCGGGTCTATTTTGAGATAGCAAAACACACCAGAATTCTGAGTGTGACTCTGTGGGGATTGTTCATTGAGAGAATTAACCAATGAACAGCCCCCTTCGGTTACAGTGGGGGGACTTGAAAGAAGTGTGAAGAAGCAATTAGGTGAGGGGAGTCAGTTGTGGTCCCCAGGGAAGTGGAAGGCAGACTGACAATGTATAACCTGGTATAATGCGGGTTTAGAGCTGGTTGGGAATTTTTTCACACATTTTTCATTGGAAAATATCTGTTTCTTTATAAGCTGTTCATGGAAAGAGTCCGTTCAGACAAATTTCCCGTTTTGGGGGGGTGGGAATCAAAATTGTCAAAACAGCCCATTTCAACATTTTAGAAATGAAAAAGTTCTGTTTTTTCAGGTCCAAATGACTTTTCGTTTAGAAATACAAGTTAATTGACAGTAAAACAATGTATGAAAAAATATAAAAAAGAAGCCAAACCAAACATTTAAATCAAACCAAATAAAAAAAAACTTTTTTTTTTTTTCAGATTTTTGGTTTGTGAAAATTTTCAAGATTTCGATGTTTCATCCTCTTTGGAATGGGAACGTTTAAAAAAAATCTTAAAAATTAGCACAGGAGAGGAAAACCATTTCCTGCCCAGCTCTAATGTGGATGCCCCTTTACTATTCTGGGAACAGCTACCATTTACAGAAGCCCTGTCAGTGGGACTCCATTGAAACTGCCCTGCCAAACAGGAGTCCATGGGGGTACGGGGCTGTCTCCACCTCTCCCATGCCCCACAGGGACCATGAGGGTTGGGGGACTACCCCACATCGTTTACCAGTGGGGACCCATACACCCACCCTCCCTTGATGGAACAGAGGGAAGAAATCTGCAGGAGGGGAATCTCCAAGACATTTCCTCCCTCTTAGTCCTCTCATATGGGTTTTTCCTGCAGATGGGGATTATCAATCCATATATTACAGTCCATTATTCCCAGCATCAATGCTTTACGCTTCTAAACTGCTGAATAAAAGGAAAACAAAAGAATCCTGCTTTCCCCTTGCTGCAGCGACATTATAAATGGAAACATGTAAATGAATCCTCTAGCTAGCTGGGTAATAAATCAATTCCTGTTCTGGAGCAGTGAAATGTGAAATATCGCTCATTATTCTGCACTCTGGGACAGTGCTGCACGAAGGTCATATTCACTCTCATTTAAGGAGCCTGCAGGGAGCAATATGAAAAGTCATTGTCTGCTCTTCTCCCTCCCCGCCCGCTTTTCTATTTTTAGCACTTGTTAGGGAGATCAATTTTAGTTAACTGCAGAGGAGATCTTAAAACAGCACTGCAGTCCTCAGTTGTGCTCTTGCTATATTTAGTATTTCATTAAAAAAACAACACAATCCTCTGCAGCCCATCTCCTTTGAAACATGCTGCCCTGCCATTGCTAGCATCTTATGCTCATTATATCCAACAGGTCTCGACCCTTTTTAAAAATCTTAATCGTGGTTTATTTATTCCCCAAAAGGAAGGGGTATTTTACAGTATGGTTTCAAATAGGTAACAAGGAAAGGGCCTGGATCCCACAACCCTTCCTCACCTGAGGGTTCTGATTGGGTGACGTTCACCCCATGCAGAAATTCAGGACGAAGCCCAAGCGCCACTTAAGTCCCACTTACAGTTTCCTGCCAAGAGTGGAAGTACAAAAGCTTACATGGGAGCTTAGTGGGCTTGGCAGAATTGGATTTTTATTTTTATATTTGCATACTATAATGTTGACCGATAACATCCATGTTTCTTTTAAAGCATTTTTTAGATTTTTCTCTCTTTAAATTTTCACAGTTTACAGGAAATGATGGAGAGTTCAGACAATTACTTAGTGACACATGCTGAGATTCAAAAAGTTAAAGCTTTACAAACCATTAAAACACAAATTGTCAACATCACAGGTCAAAATATACCAAGTAAATATCCTTAAACCAGCAACTCAGACTTGTTTTTACTTTCATTCACTAATTTGTAACTAAACCATTTACTTTCATTCACTAATCATTTGTAACCAGCCTAATTCAAAAGTCTAAATCACTGGATTTTGACTCTTAAGTTCTCAAGCAGCATTTTGCTTGCTTTGCCGATTGTAAATTTTGATTATCGATGGAAATATTTGCCATCAGTTTGTGTGTGCACAGTGAAATTGACGTTTATGGACATTTACAGATCAAAATCTAATCCTTCCAAACCTAGATTTGAATGGTGCATAGTGCTTAATAATAATAATAATATATGGAGACATACCTATCTCATAGACCTGGAAGGGACCTCAAAAGGTCATTGAGTCCAGCCCCCATTATAACTTATCCTAAAACAGAGGGTGACCATAATCAGCCATAAGGACTGTTCTGGTCTGTTCCTGCCTTAACATTAGTACAGACACTAGGAGTCTGTCAGATGTGTTTCTACCAATGTCCCTGAGGGTCATTCCTTTTTTCTATTCAAAAAGGGTGGCTGACAGGATGATCAGATCATACATTAATACATTCTACATTATTATAACGGTCAATCATTATAACCTCTAATACAAATATCAAATCCTACTTCTACAAAGTGATCAGCAAACTTCTACAAACTCTTAATAATAACCTTAAAGAATTGTGCAATCATAGGTCCAAATATAGAGGTAGCTGCACCACCAGCTACCCTATCTCCTCCTAGAGCTGGAAGGGACCTTGAAAGGTCATTGAGTCCAGCCCCCTGCCCTCACTAGCAGGACCAAGTACTGATTTTTGCCCCAGATCCCTAAACAGCCCCCTCAAGGATTGAACTTATAACCTTGGGTTTAGCAGGCCAATGCTCAAACCACTGAGCTATCCCTCCCCTCCCCCCCCCCCCCCCCCCCTCCCCCCTCTCCCCCCTCCCCCCAAATGCTTGTGCTGGCCCTCTGCACAGGGGTGAGTTTCACCCACTGATTTCACTGTCAGTCAAGTCCCAACACTGGACCTAGACAATTTTTAATCCAAATAAAGTGAATAAGATGGAGAATATTAGTAGTAATTATAGGTACTTAAGGGCCAATTTTGCCCCTGCCTTCACAGAAGCTCCCTTGCAGCAGAACCAGTGAAGTTCCTCTTTGCAATGGGAGGGGCTGGATTCAAAACTTTGTGGAGTCTCCCTGCCCAGCAGGAGGCATGGGGTAGAGGTGAATCCAAGGATCTGCTACTGAGTGGATCCTCCTATCTTCTTTCCCCTGCCCAGGGATGGAGACAGCTAGGATTACAGATGAATTGGATTCAGGCCTTAGAACTTAAAGGGTTTAAGCAAGGCCCCCTGCATTGGGGTGAATTTCATCCTTATCTAGTACCTTCCAACTGGAGATCTCTGAGCGCTTTACAACCATTAATTAGTTCACCCTCACACAGCCTGCAATGATAGGTGAGCAGTATCACTGTATTACAGATGTCAAGACTGAGCTGCAGTCACTTGAGTAAAGCCTTGCAGTAAACCAGTGACAGAGCCAGGAACAGAACCCAGGAATCCTGATTCCCTGTCCCTTCTAACCACTAGACTACAATCTCTCCTATCTGAATGACACTCCCATGTCTGTAACATTTATCTGTATACCGACACTAATTACTCCGTGAAAAACAGACTTTGCTGTAGTTAAAAGTGCCAGAGAAAATATGAAATCCGTGCCCTGAAGTATTATAAAAGGAATGCATTATAACTTGAACACAGCCATTAACATGGGGGTCTATTTCCTCCATTGGATGCACATGCATATTCCCCACTAATGCCACATTCACTTAGGGTGAAAGTCATCCCTGTGCAAAAGGTCAGCACAAAGGCCTATGTGCTCACTTAAAACCTACTTCAGCCCTGTTTTGAGGATGTGAGTGGGGCCCATAAACATTGTGCTAGTCTTGTCACCTTAGGAGTAAAAGCTGCTGGCATTAAAAACTATGTCAAAACTCCTATTGCCATCAGTGGTACACCATCAGCACCTTAGATTAGAAGGCTATTGTTTGCGTGGTTTTCTGTGGGTTTTTTTTTAAATGCTGACACTGTTAGAAGGGAAAAAAAGCCTGTGTATAACGTGGCTGTCCATGAAAATCTCTGCATTTGGTCTGACCCTCTTTGGGCTGCCTGTATTTGGGGCTTTCCTAATCCTGTTTAAACACTGTATCACAAAGGGAAAAGCATCACATTTCCGTGGCGTATTGCTGTTGCCCGGCATGTTTATTGATTTAGTCTTTGTTTGACAATCTCGTAAGACTGGACTAATGTATGAACCCAGGTACAAACACTATATAGCCAGCCCAGCAATGATCATAACAGAGGGAAAGACCAAAAAGAAATGGTGATTCGAAAAAATAAATTGAATTTTGCTAGGCTGATATAATCCCAGTGATCTTCTGTTGCCTTCTATTTCTGGACGGTTGGGGAGCATTCTGTAGGGAA